ATTAATAAAAAAATTATGATAAAATAGTTAAATATTTTATATTTTTGGGGTAATTATAATAAAGTGAATGGTAATTTGGTGAGAATATTTCTGGATCTCTATTAGCAGGTTTAGAGTTTAATATGGTTGATGTTAAAAAACTTATTTTATTTTGTTCTAACATTATAAATTATAAAAAAGAAAAGAAAAGAAGAAAGAATATAATATTAATAAAAATCAATAACACACGGTGGGCAGCAGGCATTAATTCTCATCCTTTTCCCTTCTTGCACATTCTCAAAATTTCAGTTTGAAAGAGAGACAGAACACGAGAGAAAATCATCTTTATTTCCCAACTTTATTCTTCTTCTTCCAATCGCTTTTGTTAGTCACCAGTGGCAGTGGTTCATCCGTTGATGCTGTTAAGGATCTGTTTTAGTGGTTTTCTCTTTTCCTTGCTTCTTGTTGTCACTTTGCTCTTTTCCTTCTTTGATCGCTGTAGCAGCATTGAAGGCTTCCCTTGCCAATTGATTCATGCTTGTTTGGTGGTTCAGCACTTGTTTCTCCATCTTCCCTTACCTTGACTTGGGGTGGGTATGCTTGAAATCTCTACTCCTCATTTTTTTTTAGTGTGCTGCTGCTGCCCACCTGTGTGTGTGAGTGTGTTGCATGAGTTGTAAAATTTGATTTTTCTTCCTACTCATGTGTGATGCGTGAATTAGGAAGTGGATAGAATTTAATTAAGCTAGAAATTTAATTTTAAAGTTTATACTTTGTTAGGTAATTTCACTAGAGCTATTTTGATTATTATAAGAGGAAGAAGGTGGGTATAGAATCACTCTCTTCTTAAGCCTAAATTGATCTCTGATAAGAAGTTTGATTTGTATTGTATAATTGTGATATTAAAATTGTTGGGGCAAAAGATTTAAGGTTAAGAAGTTTAAATGGACTGCTTTAGAAATTTATACATATTGGGTGACAGAGAGAATTTGTTCATCTAGTAAAAAATCTATTAAAATTCAATTATGTTTGGTAGAATCAGTAGAAGAAGAGAAAAATTGATTGCAATTGTAAGAAAGAAATTTTAGAAACAGGGTGACATATCAAGTAAGTAAATAATGTTCCATAATAAAAAGAAGTGATAGTATTTCTTTTGGCTCATTCATTCAATCATTTATCTATATATATTCATTATTCAAGTTTAATTATGTATGTATTTCCATGGTATTTTACTTTCTTAAAAAAAATATTGTGTATGCATGGACCGGACAAATGGTGGATGAAAAAGTTATTTATACTTCACAAATTAAAGGAAAATTTTGAGCTATAAAGATTGTTGGATTTCATACATGACATAAATGTTTTATAGGACTGAATACAGAACACTTTGTTAATGACAGTTTCGTTAGCCCTTGACGCGTCATGTCACACCTAACTAGCAGAGTACATTAGAGGTGCTAGCTCCATGTGTCGACCAACACACGTGGAAGGGAGGATGGAATTTTGTGGATATAATCAACGCCTGTTATTCATGAGCTTCATGCTTGCACCTGTTTTTCGTGACTTCTAGTCACGCCAGATGTTACTTACCCTCATAAACTATATGTCCACGCCTATTATTCATTCTGTTTAGATCCTAACAAAAAAGAAATCTTTCAAATTGTATTTCTCGTTCGTAAAAATTGTATTTTTATGATTTGTTTTATATAAAGAATATATCCCTAACTTAATGATTACGATTCTCTATTCTCTTTTTCTATTTTGTTACTCAGTTACCAAGGATAAATTGTATGATAATTTTCTAATACCATTGATAATTAAATTAATCTCTGGTTTCCTATTATATATGTTTACGATTATTATTTTTATTTATTAATATTATTTGGAAACATTATTTATTAAAAAAATTTGGTATTTAAATAGTAGAAGTAGATCTGTTCTTCAGTAGACCTCGTGGGATTCCTTAAGACAAGAAGTATTTTTTGTTGCTCTATTTACATTGTGGATTAATGTAAATGTTTAAGTGTTTTGTTTTTTTCTCTAGAATTGCTCCACAAATCCTATAGGTAGAATCCTTATTTAAAATGTTCTAGATTATATATATATATATATCTATTGTATCGGAGTAAAACTTTAAATGTTGTTTGGATATTCTTTTGACAGGTTGTAGAGATTTCAGGTAGTTTAACTTACAGGAGAGATTTTGTTTAAATTTCTATAATAAGTTTAAATATTTTGTTAATACTAATAGTTGTTTAATACAAATGATGATTATAGGATGAGATTGAGCAATTATTATGTTAGATATTTTATAGATTTAGGCTTATAGAATATGAATTTTTTTATATTCCACCCACTCACACTTTAAAAGTTCATGTGACAATATCTTTAAGAAATTTGTTTTCCAAATAATTTTTAAATACCTCTCACGTTTTTATCAAAATCTTCGATAACTTTTAAGAGTTTTCAATTTTCTTCAAGAATCTTCATTGATCTTCAAAAATCTTCAGCATATATTCAAGCAAAATTTCTTCAAGTAGCTTCAATTATCTTTCGCATTTTTTCAAAATTCTTCAATAATCTTCAACCAATGTTCACGAAAAAATTCTTCAAGTAACTTCAATTATCTCTCACCTTTCTTGAAAATATGTTGACAATTTTTGAAAAAAAAAAAGTATGATAGATTAATAATTGAAGTTAGTTTGGGTGAATTTCCTTTTTATGAATGCTTGGCTTTAAAAGAAGGTTTGACTATTCCCAAAAAAAAAAGAAAGTGATAGCATACCTTTTTTTTTTCTTTTTGAACAAATTAAAAGTCAATATTTGATTAAGATAAAATGATAGAACATAAAACCCTACAAACTAAACCGCTAAAATATAAAACAAGGAAAACAGTGATAAGAGGAAGTAAACAGTTATAGACCCAACAAATAATCACTCAGAGAATCCATGAGTATTGACTATGACAAGCCAAGATTGAGAGCAACTATAAGAAGCAATCCCAAAGGAATGCAAATATACTTGAAGGAAAATTAGCTTATGATATTGATGCAACATGCCAGAACGTAATGGATTAATAACGATTGAGTCAGTGCAAGGGGAAACTACATTTATCTTCATTCTCTGACTTGGAAAAATTTGTAGCAATCCAAAAAGGTCTTAAACCAAACCATAGAGATTCAACCTGTTTGAAGTGACCTTATATGTGCCTTGTTGCCAATCCATCCATCATCTATGATAACAAACAGGTGCATATGGGATTAGATTGTGAACCTCTATACAAATATTATAAACAAAATAAAAAATTATGAATTATAGAATTTTTTATACAAATAAAATATTGCCAAGAGTCTCTTGATTCTATGCTATCTCATCTCCTTGAAAGGAGGAGATTATGTGTGGATTCCATACCTTATGTGGTTAAGGGTGGGTGGTTTTGAGTGTGTGCTAAGCACTCTTCTCTATGGGAAAGGAATAGAAAAAAATGATAATAAAATCTTTTTAAATTATATAAATGATAATTTAATTTTTTAAAATGTCATAATTTTACTGAAATCTCTGGAGATTCCTTTATCATTAAATTTTAAATTGAAAAGATCATTTTATTCTTATTGATAAATTATGATTTCTCATTCAATTCTTGCAACTCTTTGAATAAAAATTGTAATTATTTAAATAAAAGTTATGAATGTGGTTTGTTATCTCAAGAACTTATTTTTCAATAATAAAAATTACATTTGATAAATTATAATTTTTTATTCAATTCTTGTAATTCACATAATAAAAGTTGTTATTTCTTGATCAAAAGTTGTGATTGAGATTTATTTTTGAAAAAATTAATTTTTTAATCCTCCAACTTTTAAGTCACTTGTAACTCAGACCCTCAACTTTTAAATCACTTACAAATTAGTCCATTAACTTTTGTTAATTTTTTTTTATGTTAGCTTATATCTCATATTAATGAGTAAGAGGAAGGTATTTTAAAATAATGTGAGTATTTTTTATCCCTCTTATTTGATAAGAAATTTTTAAAAAAATTAAAAAATAAGGATCGAGTTATAGGTGAATCAAAAGTTGAGAGACTAAGTAGCAATGAGTTATAATTGAGGAATTGAGTCGTAGCGAGTCATAGTTGAGGGACTAAGTTACAAGTGAGTTAAAAGTTGAAGGATTAAAAGATTAATTTTTTCTTTTTTTCAATAACAGAAATTAGATTTGACAAGTTGTAATTTTTTTATTCAACTCTTATAATTTGAAAAATAAAAATTGTGATTCCTTAAATAAAAGTTGTGATTGGAGTTTGTTATTTTCAGTAAAGTTAAAATAATTTTTTATTTTAAAATTTATTGACACAAAGGTCTTTAAAAACTTTATTTAAATTATGATATTTTAAGAAATTAAACTATCATTTATATAATTTTAAAAAAATTATTATTATTTTTTTCAAAAGAATAGGTACGTAAGGGGATTGAATTCTCTCTTGGTAATATTTGCGATTTTCTACACTTACATTTCTTTAGGCCCCAGTTTCTAACAAAATTTGCTACCTATTTTAATGGAGCAGGCAAAAGTACAGGAAGTAAGAATAGAAGAAAATATATTGCCATATGTACGCGTGTGAGGTGAATTTGTATTTGATACTCCCTCAGTTTCTATTTTATCAAAAAAAAATTATACCACATAATTTAAAAAAATTAATTAATTATATTAATTATGTGAAAAACAAAAAAATTAAATTATAATACCTTTTATTAATTATGTTAATAAAACCTTCATCAACTTTTTCTTATAATTATAAATAATAAAATTATGAAAAATAATTCAAAAAGTTTGAAATAAATCTCTATTAAAAAATATGATTTTATTTATATTAAAAATAATAATTTTTTTATAAATAAAAAAAAAGGAGGGAGTACATTTCAAAAATAAACAAACAAACAAATAAATAAATAATATTTTTTTAATAAAAATACCTAGTGCAGTCCATGAGTCCAGTCTCTTTACTTCTTTTTGGCCTTTTCACTTTGCCTTTGCCTTTCCTTCGTTGCTCCGCCTTGCCGCTGAACAAGTTGCCATATTCAATACGACAGTACTTCCCCAATCCATATGTCTTTACAAGGATCCGATCATCTCCGTCGGCTTTGCTGCCGTCACCGTCACCACCTCCACCACCACTTGCACGGTGTGCCTTCTTACTGTGCCTTCCACAACCATTACTTTCACTGTCACTGTCACCGTCACCGACAAGGATCCAATATTGTAACTCCTCCTCCTCTTCTTCAAAATCCAGAGTCTCTCGTTCCCTTCCCCGTCGGAAACAATTCCAATGTGGGGGCTGCTGAACATGAAGAAGCCGATGGTGCTGCCGCCCAGTAAGATAGTTTTATCTTTGTTTTCCTCTCTCAATCCTCTCAATTTTTTCGCCATTTAATTGCTTGCTTGTTCTTTGTGTGATAAATTAGTTTATGTTATATAGAGAACGAGGTAAGGCACTTTGGCTGATTCTGCTCCAAAACAATATTTGATGGTGAAATACAACTCAATAGTAAAATGTATTTACTGCCTTGGAAGAAGTTCGATGTAGTAAAATAGAAGATAGAGGATTAGCACTTGAAGAACCTAGATGAATGGAATGAAGCCTTGATACTGAAGCTTATAGCGAATTAACGTTGGAAACGGTGAATTATGGCGTGGTAGATATTGAAATAGAAGATAAAACATAATTATGTTTCACCTCTTTGCGAAGTAATTATACTGATGGAAGTCGGGGTATTTTTATTAGTCTTTATGTGACTTTCTTGACTGGTGAGCGCTACTCTGTTCTGTAATGGTTTCATTACATCATAGTGAGAGGAAATTAGGAAGATTGAACTCAAAGGAATAAGAAAATGGTCAGGATCGTATGCTAAGCACCTTGACAGCACGAGGATATTCCTGAATGACAACTCACAGATATTGGTGGCTACTGGATATTACAAAATGCGAAAGAAATAAAAGGTTTTTCAGTAATGTTAGAGATTCCTTTTCTAGTAACGTTTTTACTAACTTGTACTGCTTTTGATTCCTATAGCGAGGATTATTCAGGATCTCTTGTGGGGTGGGCTCGGGAAGAGTAAAAGAAATCACTTGAGTCAGTCAGGAAGTTTGTTGGGAGTGGGAAGTATAAGGAGGATGTGATCTTGGGTATGATATAGCTTTGCTAGTGACCTGTGTTATTTGATGACCACGGCCCTCTCCATTTTTATATTTTTCCAAATAGGATTTGGAGTTTGCATACTTTGGATTTTGTTCTTGTAGCTTCTTCAATTTTCTGATTTAAATCCCGATTCCCAAAGTTTTCCCATGTCTAAATCTGTTTGGAATATCAATGCTCTCTCATGTAAAGGCTTTTATTTGGAGTTTGGACCTTAGTACTTGATAGAACTATTACATGATGCTTGCGCGATGTGTTATTGGAGTTCCAGTATAAACTTTAATGTTTCTACATGATGAAATGGCATGACATGACATGACAGATATGGAATGGACAGCTTCAATAAACATTGAGTCTGTCCAGATCATTCTCTAGATATTATATCCATTAACTTTGGGAGCAAGGGGCATTAAGGCATCTGGAAGAGTGCTGTTTTGGCAGACCTGTGGCGTTCATGCTTGGAACGGAACTCAAGTTTTATAAAAGATGTTTTTACAATCACATCTTTTGGAAAATAATTCCTTTTTTCACTTTTTGGCTTCCCTTTGGGTCTTAACAAGCAGTTACTTCTGCTTTCTAGGGTTTGGACACCCTTAGTGAGGCATGAATTCAGGGAGGATTAGTTAATGCTTGGTTTGCATCATGACTTGATAGGATTCCTTGTCTTTCTTGCTGAATTTTTTTTTTTTATTCTTGCAAAAAATTCTTCTTATAAAAATTACAGTCCCCAGGGGGAAAAAATCTTTAGATTGACATAAGTCCAAACTTGAATTATGGGAGAGGACCTTGAAGTCAAAGGGTTTCCACTTGAGTAGGAGTAAAGCGGAATGTATGCATTACAATTTTGATCAGAGATCAATCAATAATAATTTGTGAGTTAGATTGAGAAATCATATCATACCACAGGTGAAAAAGTTTAGATATTTTGAAGCAATTATTCAATGTGATGGTGAAATTAATGGGAATGTCGTATATAGGATACAAGTTAGGTGATTTAAATAGGAAAAGACAACAAGAATTATTTGTCATCAAAAGGTACCTAATAAATTTAAAGAGTAGTCTTATCAAAATGCTATATGATTAGTGATGTTATGTGGTAGTGAATTTTGGGTTTTAAAAGGGACAATAGGAGTATAAAGTTGGAGTAATAAAGATGAAAATGTTGAAATGGATGTGTAAGCATACACGAAAAGATAAAATTCAAAATAAGCATACACGAAAAAAGTGGGTGTGGCACCTATTAAGGGGAAGGTGTTAGAAAATTGTTTGAGATGGTTTGAACATATACAAAGAAGGCTGTGGGAAGCACCAGTACGGAGAGGGGAACAAATAGTCTTGGGCCCTGTAAAGAGGGGTAGAGGAAGACAAAAAAAACATTTATGAAAGTTATTGAACAAAGCTTCTTGATTAATAATATTCGTAAAAGCTTGGTTGATGATAAAGTATAATGAGGTTGTGGAATTCATATAGTCAACCCCATCTAATGGGATAAGTCTCGTTGTTGACATAACTTAGCCATGGTTGTTCTACTCAACAGTAGGAATAACTGAAGTTTGGTATACTTGCACACGAATTATGATTTGAGTCTGTTAGTCGTTTAAGGCGTTATTGTGTGACACTAGCATTCATTTATGATGATTAGGAAACTAACTCTGTGACTACAGCTTCCACAATACAGAGGGCTCCTGAACCTGAGATGCGTCCCTTAAGTTCCTGAATCTCCTTCCATGGCTGTCCAAGCTATGCCTTTGAGAGCCCTGAACTAGTCCATACTATGCATATCTTTTGCCATTGCACTGGAAAGCGATGTGGCTTTGATACCAGTTAGAATGTGATATAATCATTGGTGATAGGAAATAAGGAAGGAAAGAGAAAACTGAAATAGGAAGAAGAGAAACTCCTTAGATTACCATAAAATCAGAATCTAACTCTATAACAATGTAAAGCAAAGGAGAATCAACATGTGATCTGAATAATACTTCCATTCCTCAGAATTTCATCATACAGTACTTTCTTATATCTGACACACAACTGAAAATATTACACACCATCAACAATAGCTAACTAAAGGATAAGGACAAGACACATAACTACTACATAAAGACTTGACACGTGGGCTTAAGTCATAAAACCTCATGTTAGGACTGCCAACACATCAAGGAGGTTAAAAACAACTTTCTAATGTCCCTCTCTAGCACTAACCAAGCCTACATCGGTCATACTCTCCACTCCAGGCCTTTTCTTCCTTCTGCTGTGGGTAGTAATAGGTGGATTCTTTTCAACAAACGACGTATAGGCATTGTCGCCTATCAAAGTTCATTATTCCTTGCACGCCTTCTTCTCACTCTCTCTCTTCCTACATTAGGACGCTTTGTTGTTCATGCGGATTCAGCATACTTCTAAACTATTAACATAGCTTCACTCAAATAAAATAAAATAACATAGCTCTACACTTACTTTAAAAAAACTTAATGCAAGCACTACGTACACACATAAAACAGTTGAGAAACTCCTAAAACAACCGACAGATTCATAATTCATGTAAAACATACCTTATTGCCTCATTTTTTCTTGGTTGTCTTATTCTCTCTTTGGTATGACAAGCTTGTTCTTCATGGAACTATAACTACAATAAAAGTGGCAAGTAGGAGCTAGAGATTGGGTAAATGATGGGTATGTATTGGATAAAATCAAGAGACTGGAGAAGAAAGATTTGTCAGTATTTCAGTTGGCAATTTTAAGAGTTCATATTTTCGTCTCAGATAATTATCATGAAGCATTCCGATAGAAAAGTTTAAGATGCTAGGTGAATGGCTATCAGTAGTTTTTATTAATATCTTCAACACGCTCTTTGCTTGATGTGTGGATAAAGCTCAAACACTTTGTGCTGAATCTCAATTTTAATCAAGAGAATGAGAATAATAATGACTGAAGAACTGAAGATTACTTGGTTGTAGAGGCTTTCAACCTATTAAGTGAACGTCTTCTGCTCATTTTTTGTTGCTTTTTGGTTATAGAGGTTTACGAATAGCATTATTAAAATCTATGAAGAAATGTTTTCTGCTCATCTTTTATTGCATTTTGGATGTCGTGTATAGCTAGCCTACAATATCTCATTCTCACTTCATAATGCTTTGTTTAAACCGCATTTGTTCTTTCTTTCTTTTTTTATAAGGACACCGGGCCATGAAAAAATCACGCAAAAAGAAAACAAAATAGATGAAGTCGATGGCTTTTGTCTTTTTAATATTTGACTCCATTGAAGAAATAGATAGCTTCTCAACCTGATGCGTGGCTAGCCTTGCAATGACGTAATACTTACAAAATGCTATTTCATTCATTCCATCATCTACATATGCTCTCATCTACTTATTCGAACATAATTTTAAAGCTTATTTTCATACCTAATCTCATTCCTAATACCGATACCATAAAACTTAATACTTCGTACCAAACAGAGCCTTAATTTTCCAAAATACTTCTTTCCTGATTTTCCTAATTATCCTTGAATTGTTTCCTTATTATCCACCTAATTACCCTCGATCTGTCACACAAGCTAAATTCGAATGTTGTTGGTTGGCATGCAGCATCTCACAAGAGCAGGAGCATCTGCATCAAGATGAAGAAGAGGATGACGAGCCAATTTTCGTTCTAACTGACGAGTGGAGGGATTTCTTTGCAAAATCTGAAGCTCGAAGGCAACAAGGTGCTCCCTCCGTTCTTAAATATAAGCAAAACTTCCATATGGTTTGTGTTTTTTTTTTTTAAATTAAATTAGGGAAAAAATGAAGGATTAATCACAAGGATAGTTTTGTTCAAACTTTTTAATTTCAGACATAATTATTAAAGTTAATCAACTTTTTTAAATTGTGTGAGTTGGTTAAATTTTTTTATCTTTGAAAGCAGAAGTAGTTAATAACTCAATATTTCTTATGGATTCATTTGCCAACATTTATGGATGAAATCAACATTATTGCATTAAAAACAAAAAACAAAAAATAATTGTGCGCTTGTGATTATATGCCTGTCCTGAACTTAACTGGGTGGTCCAAAATGGAGCATGTCATCAAGGCACTTGAAGATGATTAGAATGACAGAGTTAGGCAGTTATTAATGAACTAATATCATACGTACCGACCATTTAATTTAATATTTTTATATAAATATCATGCAGAAAAGAAGCAACGGAAGAAGGGAAAGAAGTAAATATAGGAGATGGAAATGTTTTGACCAAGCATAGAGAGGAACATTTGTTAAGAGAAAACGGTTCCTCCACGGCTGATCAGGAGACTTCACAAGAGTACTTGATCAGGAATCAGGATCCTGCCATTGATTATGTGATATTTTTTTTGGTGATTCAAAGGAGGATCAATTGTTATGTTTGAAAAGGAATAGTGTTAATTTTGAAAAGGGATAGTGTTATTTTTTTAGTCATTTAGAGAGTAGTTTGAAAAGGAATAGTGTTAATTTTTCTGTGATTTTAGGATGAATGCTTGACTAATGGTAGTAGTTTGTCATGTTTTTTTTTTTTTAAGATATAATCATTTTGTAAATTACCACTGCACGTTAGTGATGCCAATATAAAAGGCAATCATGTATGAAAGCTCCCTCCCTCCCTCCCTCCTGCCTGAAATCATTATTTGGAAGTCATAGAAATTATACTTCTTTCATCCCAAATTATAAGACATTTTTAGATAAAATTTTATATATTCATAAATCTTATTAAATACACTTAACAATTTTATTTTTTCAAATAAAAATATAAAATTTTTAAAATATTCATCATTTAATATATTAAAAAGAAAAAGGATGGAAATTAATTATAGAGAGAGAAAGGGTAATATTAAAATTAGTGCATTTAATAAAACCTTAATCTATTCTAAGTGTCTTATATTTTAAAATAAAAAAATTCTTCAAAAACGTTTTATAATTTGAAATGAAGGGAGTATCTATAAGCAAGTCTTTTAAAATAAATTTGCATAAAACAATTTAAAATAGGATTGAAGGGTAATCCCTCAAAGAAACATTTAGTACCTTAAATATGTGGTAATTATTTCTTTTAACATTTGAAAATGGTGTTAAAAATTTAACTTTGACTGTTAGTTAATTTAAAAAGGAAGAATGATAGTTAGATTTTGAAACTCTAAATTAATAACAATTAAGTTCTCAATAATTTTTTTTTTGAAAAATTAGTTTAACATATCAATCCAAATAATTATAAATTTAGGAGTTTCAATTGCATATAAGTATTTAAGTATCAAATGTAATTTTTAGATTGTAATAAAAATTTTTGTTTGTAATTTTTGAAATTGATATTTATAATTCATTTTGTAGAAAATTTTGTTGGGAATTTAACTATGATTAATTTAGTGATTTGAGACCTAATTATTATTTTTCCATTTAAAAACTTTGAAAAAGGGCCTTAAAACTACAAAAAAGGCATAGAAAATTGCATATAGATGTTAGGATACAAATATTATTTTACCCATGTAGAATACTAAAATATAATTTTGACTAACCATTTTAATTAACTACCAAGTAATTAATAGATAATAGATCATAATTGCTAGCAACAATACTAATAAATAATTAAAAAAATGTTTTGAAAAAAATTACTCAAACACCTATGTTACATGTTAAAATTAATTATGAATCTAAAATCATATTTTCTTAAAGATATCCAAACACCTATTATACATGCTAAAATCAATTATGAATTCAAAATCATAATTTTTTTCAAAAATATCCGAACACCTTTTATTATGTCAAAATTAATTATGAATCAAAGAATATGATTTGTAAAATAATTTATATGATTTTTGGATAAATTTTTAGAAATGTATAATTAAAAATTGAATTGAAAAGCAGGTAGTGGTATCTTATGAGATAATCATAATTTTGAGTTCATAATTAATTTTGACATGTATGGAGGTGTTTAGATATTTTTAAGAAAACTATAGTTTTGAATTTATAATTAATTTTGACATATATATTGGGTATTTGGATATTTTTTTGAAAATATAATTTTGGATTCATAATCGATTCTACAATGTAGCAGGTGTGTTTGGATATATGTTTACAAAACTATGATTTTACCTTATTTTTAATCTTGCTTTTTAATTTTGCTTTTCAATTCTGATTAAAATCTATCTTATCAATTAATTTTATTAATCAACTATATGCCACATAACATAATTATATTTCAAATCAATCATATTAATCAATTTTTTTCATAATCAATTATATTTAATTGAAATCCAAACACACTGGTTAGGATACAAATATTATTTTACCCATGTAAAATACTAAAATATAATTTTGACCGGTCATTTTAATTAACTACCAAGTGATTAACATATCATAATTGCTAGCAACAACATCAATAAATAATTAAAAAATATATTTATTTTAATAATATTTTATTAGAATATTAATAATTTAATATAGATGTATGTATAATAAGTTTATTATTGTCATTTACAAGTCATAACACATAATTTATAAGTTAACTTTTAAAATTTAAAAATAAATTAAATGGAAATTTCACCTTTGAACCATACAGTTAAAAACATTTAGGATTCTAAACTCATTTTTATACAATATTTTTTTAAAATTTTAAAAACGATAAAATATAATCCCTAACTCATTTTTATACAATATTTTTTTAAAATTTTAAAAACGATAAAATATAATCCCTACCATTAACAACAGTGATTTACCAAAAAGGAAAATCACAGGAAAGGACTTCCAAATTTATAGAAAAAGAACAAAAAATTATAAAAAAAAGACCAAAAAAATTACATAAAATGGCCATACTATTTTCAAAAGTTGAAGAAAAATACTACATTAAAAATGAGTTTGAAATCCAGATGCTCTTGAACATATAATTTAAAACCCAATTCAACATTTATCCTTTAAAAATTCTCTAAAAATTTACAACTTAATATATTATTCATTTATAAATGAAAGAATTTTTTATAATAACTGTAAACTTTTAAAGAAAGACTTATAAATTTTGGAAGACTAATAAATTATAACATTATTTTAAAAACTTAATCAATATTACTTTTCTTATAAGAAACTTTTTTATAATTTTTAACATTCTTTTCTATAATTTTTTTGAATCATCTAACAGTTAAAGTTGACTTTTTTAATAACAAAATGTGCAATGCATCATTTTTAAATATTAAAGGGAAAAATTACATCATATATAAATTTAAAATATTAAAAAAAGACTGTACTGTTCAAAAATTATAAAATAGTCTATTCATTCCTTTAACTTCATGCAATACATAAGATCCCACATATAATTCTCTAACAAAACAACACGCTTCAGCTTGAATGAAATGAAAGTCACAGATCACTGACATTCTATTTCTGGCTTTCTACAAGTTAAAACCAATCCAGTAATCTGTGGTCTCACATTTAATCATTTTGAGCTCACTAGTGATGACTTTCAGAGAATGTTCTAAAGCATAACATGCCCTTGAAAGTTCACTAGAAGATGACCTTTTATGTAGAGGAAGCTATGGCAAAGAATTGTGCATAGCTCTGGGATTAGATTTTCCTTCCACATGATTTATTATTAATAACTCAACTAAAGAAGACACAGCTTTTAAGACCTGGAGCCCAGCTTGTTGAGAGCAGCATTGATCCTCTCGTCTGTGAACATTCGATTGCTTTCATAGAAATCAAGAATCTCCATTGATATATTTTTCACCTGTCAAAAGAACAATACCAGATTTCACCACTTAGCTGTTATTGAAGATCAATGGCATGTTTGGTATCCTGTTTCCAGAACAGTTTTTCATTTTGAAAAACAAAAACCTATTTAAAAATGTGTTTTCTATTAGTCTGGACGAATAGTGGCAATACCCCAAGGTTTTCCAAGATAACAGAAGATGGAATAAGAAAAAAAATGTGTTTTCTATTATTTGTCCTAAAAGACAAGAAAATTAGAAGTTGTTCCAGAAAACCAAAAAACCAAAACATCTTTCGAAATTTAGGCCAAAAAAAAAAAACCATCTTTTGAATGTTTTGTTCCTTTTTATTCTGCAAAATTAGAGAAAAGATAGAAAACATTATGTTTTTATTAATGACAATTATGTTAAAAAAGTAAACAATTCTTTAGATATGTTTTTCATAATAATGATTCAAACAGATTTTTTTTTTTCCACTTTCCGTTTCCAAAATGAGTTCCAAAAAATTACTTTACATAATTATTTTATATTAATGTAGAGATAGAGAATAGAATCAAACAAGCCCCAAGTTTTCAGGACACTGCCAAGACAATTGTAAGGAAGTGGGTGAGCTGTGTTTCTACATTTTTTTTTCCAAGAATTCTGCCTGTCTCTGAAAAATCACAACAAAATCTGAATTTCAAATGCAGCTGATAAGGAAGAAATTGAAGCATACTAGAAACTCACCCTCTTCAGACAACAATAACCTTATAATAAAAACAAGAAGTTTTCTTTTTCAAAAAAAAAAATCTCAAAACATGAATAATATTGACAAATGGCCAAAGCTAAACTGATTTTCCATTATTATTCTAATGGGAAGAAGTAAATTTTCGAAAAATGATTTACAGAAAAACAACATATCCAGTGAAACAGGCCTCAAGTGTAACTCCGATAAATTAATTCAGCAACAGAATAAAGGGGCTATAAGATGATGAGACATTATTCAAGCTTCGCATTTGGCTGACAATTAACTGACAGTCCGATGAACTAAACAGTTTGATAATCCTAGACCACAAATTAACTGTAAGAAACAGCATTGTTATTTCCTCGACCAAGCCCCTTTACCAATCTCCCCACCCTCCAAAAATGAAAGCCCAGCCACTTCGTAATTTATCAGGACCATATTTCTATGTTCAGCATTTTCTGACAATAATATATTTTTGGGAAAACATAATTATTGGTCCCTATAGTTTTAATGTGTTTTGATATAGGTCTTTATAGTTTTTTTCATTGTTCCAAATCCCTTTCGTTTATCCTGTCTGTAAAAATCCCTCTATTTTTTTAATATACCCAGAAAGACGAAGAGGTGACAATAATAGAATCAAATATGCTGACATGTGACTAATACCGTTAGTCCATGTTGAGGTGGAATTACGATTCAACAAATTAACAACACTGTCCACCCCATTTTGTTTCATGTTTCATGTTTCAATCTGTTGAATCATAATTCTACCTCAGTACAAATTAACAACGTTAGTCACAAATTAACATATTTAACATCGTTAATGTCACCTTATCATTCTCTTAAATATATTCAAAAATAGGACTAACATTGCAAACAGGATAAACTAGAGAGACCTAAAGCAACGAAAAAAATTAATAGAATATGTTAAAACTACAAGGACCAATAGTTATGCTTTCCCAATATTTTTAATGAATTCAAGACAGAAACTAAATTGAAAATAGGAAAACTCCTTCCATGATGCCAAGTTTTCGAGTTTAAGTATCAGGCTACCATGTTTCAAGTTTTCAAGAAAAAAGTTTGCACTAGACGTGATCAAGAAAATGTGTAAAAGAGAAGGAAAAATTACAAGCAACAAAGTGCATACATGTAAATCTAATGAAATACTCACCACATTCATATCAACACGAAGTTCTTCAAACCAAGCAGTGGTGTCTTTCTCCCTGAGCACACTAGCAATGTATAAGCATGCTAAAGCAATCAGATGTGGAGGATGCACAAGAATTAGGTCCATCTTGTAGGTGTCATTTATAAGTCCCCTGTGGGCATCAACAATTTCTGTTTATGACATGGTATATTAATATAAAAGGAGCAGTGATAATCACAAGATAATGCTTTTCTTAAGAAAAGAAAAAAAAAATCCTTCAACACAAAAAATAAGCAAAAGAAAACATTAGCTCAAGCAATCAGCGTGGCTGACCATTATGATAATTGGTGAACGCCAAAAGCATCAGCAAGATGTGTGCGTGTGTCTTTCTTCTATATATGTAAGATAAAAAAATTATTAAAGAGGAAAAACTACAATATGGAGAATAATACAGTTGGCACTTTGCAACAAGATCAAATAATGCAAAACAAGGTTTTATTACTTGCTGGCAAAAGGAAAAAAAATAACCATGTTTTCTGGTACAAAGATACTCACAGAATCCTACTTCAAGGGAAAGAAATGCCCAAAAACCAAAATGCCATAATATCAAAAAGATAGTAAGATCATAAAATTAAAATCAATATTTAATTTAGATCTTCATATGCTAGAGACTACTAGGGTTATTTGGGAATGTGAAATCGTAAGATCTTTGAAGTTTAGACCTAGATGTTGGCTACCTTGGATAAGACAACCTTCAAAAACAAAGAAACCAAAAGATATAGAGATAAAGGACCTAAAAGATATAACAAAGCTATCCTATCTCTCTGCATATAACGAGTGGAATCAGCTTTTGTTTTTGTCCCTTTTTTTTTTTTTGGGTCTACACTCCAAGGAGAAACTTTGAACACAACCCTACAGGGAAGGTAGGAAAAATAAGTATATGCTTTATCCAGGAAACTTTCAATGCCAATGCCTTTGACGTTTTCTCCTTTGCAAACAAGCAACAGCCAAATGTAAAATCATGGTGACTGGAGAAAGCATGCAACAGAGGGGAGAGGCAAGAAAAAAGGGAAAATTATCAAAATGAAAAAAAAAGGAAAGAAAAAAACTGGCCATAAGCTACTCCAATAATTTCAAAATCAATGAATTCTCACCATGTTATTTGAGTCATGCTGATATCATTCAACCCAGCATCCTGGAGCAACCTGGAGAAAAATCACAACGATAACAATAAACAAACACCAAATGGAACTGCAAGAGATTATGAAGACTATAGGACCAATTATGCAGTCAACTTCAGTTAACTTAGGATCTGTGTTAGTTAACCAACTGATTATTGGTATTTATTCAGCTTGTAGATTTGAGAAGGGAAAGGCTTGAAAGATCAAGCAAATTCTAAGGTCAAGCCAGCAACGAAGACAGAGATATAATTCCAATATACAAGGTAAAGGATATGGTCTTAGGTGTGGCTCAATCATGAATAAGAATCTGTGCAACTATTACCATATCAGAGTATAATCAGAATGATGTGCTAATCCCATGAAGTAAACATCTAAGGTAAAAGCTCTTAAGAAGATCCACATTGCAGTAATAATCCATATGGCGTTTCAATTCTCCATTTCTACAGTGTACTAGTGTTTAATTCCGCCGATCTGCTACTGCTATTGGACATCCCCCCCACCTCCCCAAAAGAAGGGGAAAAGAAAAGAAAGAAGGAAAAGCTTCCCAGTGATTTTAAAAGATCTCATCTTCTATAAAGTCCTAGACTAAGGCAGAAATAATTGCTCTAAAATCACTTTGATGAAGAAGCTGATATAAATTAGGTAAAAGAAAGCTAGAGCCCCATTGTGCGAACAGACACTACAAGGGTATGAGAAATTGGAGTTGGAAATCAGACGAGCAAGAGACATTAACTATCTTCTAAGTCAGCTGAATGCTAGATCTATCTTCCCCGCCACCATAGTTGTAGGCAAACTTCAATCAAGGACATATATGACATGCTCTTCTAGACCTAGCTAGCTCTGTTTCTAGAATTTAAATTTCAACAAAAAGACTAAATGTGTCATTGAATCATCTAATTACAAAATTACCAAGGATTTAATTTAACAAATAAAGGGTCAGATTCGAAGGGTTATTTGCATATTTTACCTTAATTTGAAGAGGTGTGTTTGTAAAATAAACAAGTAAGCTGATCAATTACTTACTGAGACAATGAACGATAAGGGTGGAAAACAACCAAGTAATAGTTAAGTGCCTCCAAAATCTTCATTTCCATTTCAAGTATGTCCTTGATCTCAAATCGGTACTTGTCATCAGAATCTGCAAAAACAATAATGTTGTCATTTCAGCAAAATGGGCATTTTTAATGTTAAAGAGAAGTTTCAAGATAAAAATAACTCACTTTTCACTTTAGAACTAGCCAGGAGAGGGGGGAAGAGGGGGAGAAGGAGAAATAAAGTAAGTGCTCACATAATTTTTTAATGTAAAATACAAGCAACCTAGCCTGCACTGTGCTTTCTTCTGCTTTTGATGCCAGGTACAAGCAGGTTGGAGCCACCAGACGTGGATCATACTCACTCATACTCTTTCTGAAAGTGCACGTGCAGTTAGGACTTTATACTCTCGGTGGGCTTGAATAAAAAATGTAAAATAGAGCAACCCAAAAAGCCAGACAAAGCACAAAGGCATTCAAAACTTCTAAATCAAAATGTCAATTCAAAAGTAGGAGATTGAAACAACTAATGAGGAAACATAAATTCAGGAAAAAGGATTGTGATGGAAAGCAACTGCAGAAAGATAAATATGTTTTGCAAAATGACTAGAAGCATATCTATAGATAAGAGAGAGTATGAAAAGGAGCGCTGGTTTCCCACCATTGAAACCACTTAAGTGCCTTGCCTTCTAGACCAACGGCCAAAATTAGTTTCTCTTCCTCCTAAATACCATCACCGCATGAATAACTCTTAACCTTAAACAACCGCCCGATAGGGTCCTTACCAGGGAATATAGGTAGCACCCAGTGTCAGTACTCAACCATCATAACAGACACATTTTGAGTCACCTACACAAGATGAGTCATGTCTTTTAAGCTCGTCAATGAATTTTGTTAAGCACCAGCCATCAACTTCCCCCTAGATTTGAATTGATGACCATCCAATCCTAGCGGGTCGTAAGGCCATAGCATTACTGTCTTGACTAACATTAAGGGGCCGTTGAATTGGAAGAATGTATTTAGAAGGAAAGGAAAGGAAAGGAAGAGAAAGGAAAAATGCCAACTGCTGACACATTTGATAAATTTATAATTACCAAACGTTTAGAAGGAAATAGAAAAGAAAGGATGGAAAGAAAGATTTGGCACGAAATGGAAAGGAAAATGGCTTGATGGGTAAATTTATGTTTGGTTGGATGAAAATAATCATGTGATGGAGAGAAAGTCAATATGAATGACTATAGTACCTTTATTATAAAAGTTTTATAAAACAATTGACTTTAATTATGATCAATACTAAGATATATTAATATATTTATACTTTAAAATCATTAATAATTAATAAATTGTAATAAAACAGGTCGTTTAGTTCAAAATACCTATTTTAGTCATTATTATTAATATTAATAATAAAATATGTCAAAATAATTATTTATAACATCATTACCATTAAAACATAATAAAAGAAGTCGTTTTAATTATGAATAATAAAGAAAATTATTTTTTATTAAAAAATTCATTTCTATCTTTTTATTATGAAAATTTCCAAATTAATAATTATTAAAATTATATAACTAAAATCTAAAACCACTAGAACTTAAAAAATAAAACAGAGAATAAAAAACAAACAATATAAGATACAATGATATTAATAATGTAACTGCAGTAGCTGGTGTAAGCAATATCTCACACTGCCCCTCAAGTCTGAATACCTTGTGTAAACACGTCTCATGTATGTAACTGCAGTAGCAACAACCCTGAAAGATTGACCAAAATATTAATGATTGCAGTGACATTTTGCACAAAAAAGACAAATGATATTACATGAGATTTTCACTTACAAAATCCTCTCAATTTTATCAAAATCAAGAATATAGTAGAAAAATCATTTCAAATCATTTTACTTGATAAAGGGATATAACTTAAGTTTGACATGCATGTAAATTCAAGCAATGGATAGAGAAATTCTTCTGAGATGATCTATCATAATATGTCAGAGTTTCTACCCTTTCAACCATCATTTCACAAGTGTATCATGGTTGCTTTTTTAAATTTGATGACCCTCACATTAGCATCCATTTCATTTAAAGTGATATAAGAGAGTAAAATATATTAAGTTCCTAATCTACTCCAACCCCGACACAAGACACAACCTTTAATTGCCTTTACCACAAATGAAACAACTTAAAAGCAAAAACGACAGTTAACTGTATATAAATTAACAGGGTCAAAATAATATACTCAATTATAACAATTGTCAAACCACCCAGTAAGGCGGCATACTCAATATTTATCATGTTCATGTCCCCATTAACTTCTTGTTCAGTTACTTCACTCATGTATCCCCCACCCTTTTTCAAGGGGTTTCAAAATTCAAACATGACCTACTTTGACAAAAAATCGTCAAGGAGAAATTCAAGCATTGAAGAAGTATATGAACAGGGAAAAAAAGGAAAGAAATATGAAGCAAAAACAAAGAAGGAACAGAAGTTTAGCTATTCCTCACACCAAGGCCTCTTCTTCAAAATAGAATCTCCCCTTGAAATGGAATGAAACTAAAACAATTCCTCCACAGTATAAATATTTACATAGAAATCTACAATATTTTACTATTGTTGATATACAGCTGGAATTACAAAATCTTAAAATAGACAGTAATTTTAAAAAAAGAAGAAACAAGAGCCATAGCTTATAACAGAACAGTATAGACATCTTTTATATGTTCGTCTTATTGAAACAAATGTAGAGTGTAACTTTACTGCAAGTTTGATTGATGAAAGATCGCATTAATCCAAACAAGGGAAAAAGGGAACTACTGATTACTTAATTACCATTGACAGCAGGCAGTCAAACTCTACAGTCTACCCCACATCATATGTTTCCATGTTGAACATCACATATCTTTAATTTTTTTTTTGTATTAAATGAACTCATGTGATTAACAAGGATTAGATCAAAACAACCAGCTACCATGTATCCCTAAAATTTTCAATGATGACTTAGTCTTGAACCAACACGCAATAGCAACAAGCTTGATTCACATAAAGGTTGTCATATGCATAATATTCAAGTATTGGAATTCCATGATAACATGCACAAAGCAGTGAAGACATTAGCAATGCTCTAAGAGATCAGCATACAAATGGTCTTGGCCATGAAGTGACAAAGTTGCACAAATTCAAGCATGTAAGGTAACAAACACAAGGATCAAAAGCATGAAAAAAATCCAGCACTGAAGTTCTTTTACATAAAGTGAAATAAAATAAAAATGTCCAAACTATTCTCAATGAAATTATTAGGCAAACTGTGACAGCATAAGCAGATTAAAAAAAAGTAAAGATTGGGTAATTCAGCTCGCACCTCTGCCTAACTTTAACATTTTGAGCCAATTTTGAGATATCTGCACAGAGAAGAAAAAGAAGCAGAAATTCATTAGAAGTAAACAATGACAGATCAAGCTAGCAAATAAAATAGTGTCATGAAATTCATACTAACTCCTTCTCATGGTTTATTTTGACTAAGAAGCTAGGGAGAAAATAGAGGAGTTCAAAATTTTCAAATAACTATCTATTAACTTAAACTTCTATTTTTTAGGGTGAGGTTTGGAATACCAAAGAAACCAAACATTTGTTTTCCCATACCAGACTCCATAAATTTCTTTCAAAGTCCCAAACACTAGAATAAGCAAAGAAAATCCATAGAAGACTTGAGTGACTTTAGGGAATAGTGATCAATACGAAAGTTTCCATCAGAAATAGAGATCAGTCCATTACACACAAACCAAAGGCTGTTAACATCAGCAAAAACAGCTAGAGCTAACTGTGAAGTTAGCATCAGTCACCATATAGCAAGTAAAATAACAATAGCGAAAATGAAAATTTAAACAAAAGCTGAAATGAAATGCTGACAGAACAAAAGAGAATCAAATTGCACATGGACCTCCGGGATTACAGAAAGACAAGGATAGACAGGAAAGGGGAGCTTACAATTAGCCATGTGCATCTTTATGAGCTTAAAATCCTCAAGTGTGATACCCTTTTCCTTGTCGAGTGGGTTTACCCTATCCACATCTTCTTGGTCTACAAGCTGCTTACTGCAAGGTGCATAGCCAAACCCTATTAATAGATGGCATAGGAGAAGAGGAAGGGGCGGGCGAACAACAGAAGGATAGAACAAAGAATAGAAAGATATTGGAAATGAAACATACTAATGAGACGATGTCCAAAAGTTGGTAGCCATTTCTTCCGCAGAAATTATAGAAACGCGGTATGAGGAAATGAGGATAGAAAGGCTGTACAATATAAAGCAAACAATTAAAACAGGAAATACCACAATGATTATACCAGTTATTTCAGAAGGACCCAGCACTTCACTGATCTAGATGAATTGACATGCTAATAAAATAAAAGAAACAATATTACTGAGTTCGAGCAAAGGATACGAATGAAATAAGAATAGGCCTCGATTACCCTGTCAGGTGTTTCCGTTTCCTTCATTTTTTTTTTTAAAATTTGAAAAACGAAAACGGGGAAACAAAAGAGTAAAGTGCAAATTTCAGTTATACAGATAAAGAGAACTTCCCAAAACTGAGCGAAAGAATGCTATCAGAAGACACCAGCAATACTCGGATGTAAAGAACCCAGAAATTAATGAACAAAGAAAGACAAAAACAAAATACCAATATCAACGTTCTCTATACAGGAAATTGAAGGATCCAAACAATCTGCTGAAGATTAAATTTCCCTGAATCTATCACCAATTAATCTCCTCCGAGTTATGAAGACTATTGACTACGGCGACCATCAATCAGTTGAGAAGGGGCCAAAGAAAAGGAACAGAACAAGCCGCTCAAGACAAAGCAAATCAGAAAAACAGGCACAGTTGAGAAACCAATTAACTTGCAAATGGACCAGAACAAAACAAAACAACTGTCATTAGCTCGACGATGAAATATCTGCGACTTCCTATGGAATATGGATTGCGCATTCCAAAGCTCGATAGAAAAAATGAGTATTAAAGACCTCCAATAACACAAAGACCAAAATACCCTGTATTAAAAGGGTGTATATATATATATGTATGTATGTATGTATAAAGTATAAACCAAGCCCATTTGTTTACCATCGTGGAAGGCGTAGTTCCCGTCGTTCCTCGCCACAACCGTCAAGAAGACAAGAAGTCCGACGAAACACATCGTTCCCTCCAAGGAAGCACTGCAACAAGTTGAAGCACACGGTAGAAGAATAAACTCGATCGGGTTCACCAAACAGATCAGATCAGAGGAAGCGCAGAGAAAGAGTCAGATTGAGAGATGAGATACTCAGACTTGAAGGAGATCGACGGAGGAGTGAGGAGGCGCTTCTCCGACGACATAACGGTGACAGTTTTGTTTTGTATCATTGTATGTGAATTCTAAGCTCATCAGGCGCACCCTTGGCTTCCATTTCTACTTCATTTAACCTCTCTTCTCTCTCTTTCCTAGTTAGATGAATTGATCTGCAAAAATCATCTAAAGTATCCAATCAGTTCTCTTGAAAGCTAAGCCTATTTCGGAGCTTCCAAGAGTTTTTTGAGCAATTTATTACGGCGGAGGCAAATAAGATTCTGATAAGTGAGGGCGTTGATTGTTCTTCCACTTCCTCTATTCTATTCATTAGTTTCCTTCTCTTATGATTTGAGAATTTCGTACTGTTAACGTGTTTAATTTCTTTTGTGTGAAGCTCAATCATGGATGTGGAGAAGTCTAATTAGCCATAACGATTGACTTTCTCTTTATTCTTCGGTTTGATCCATCAATTATATTTATCTTTATTCGCTTTTTTCGTTGGATTGTAATTATGGCTAAGGTGGTGGAAATAGGTCATGCTCTAATAGGAATTTATGACTTGGCTTTCAAGTAAACCTTGCCTGTTTGTTAAACATGCCCAAGTGTAGTTTAGATTTTTAATTTGGCATATTTAATTAAATAAATTAAACTTAGTTTTATAAGGTTTAATTTATAAGCCTAGTAAGCCAGCTTTTATATATATATAATTTATATACACATTATTATATTTTTTTATTTTTAATTATATTTTCAATCATATTAAATTTATATATTAATTTTAATGTCATTTTTTTGTTTTTATATTATAGTTGGTAAATCATCTTAATTAGTATGGGCTTGTTTGGATAATTCTCAAAAGTATATTTAAATCACATATGAGATGTCATTTTGTCAAATCCAATTAATAGTTAGATCATCGAAATAGATTTTTACTAAATGTAAATTAAAAATCAAATGCACACTATGTATTGGAATTGATAAATCATATTATATAAATGTAAATTTTAATAGTCTTAAAATAAATTTAAGACGTTTAAAATTAATATGTAAGTTTATTTAAAAGATTCCCATTTAAAATAAACTTTTAAATAAGCTTCAAAATTAGGGTAGGCTTTAGATAAACTCATACTTGAGTCGTGAAAAATAATATTATACAAGTTTCAAGTTAAGTTTAGGTTTATTTGGTTAAAACTTAATTCAACCTAATCTATTTCTATCCCTATGTTTTGCCACCATTATATGTGGGTATGTATGTTTGGTGAAGAGCAAATCTAAACTTAGAAAGATGAATGTAAATAAGAGTCAAGAGAGGGCTTTTAGATTCATCTTGACTTAAATTATAATTTCAAGGCTTAATTAGATAATTGAGTTAGATGAGAGTGAATTTGAATCTAATAAATATGAAGCTAAATCAAAAGGTAATTAGAACACATTCCTAATGGTTGGCACTATAGTTGCTTAAGATCAATTAAATGAGTAAGAATATGTCATCCCATAATGCATATCCTGAATTTTGATATTAATTAGATAATTGAGTTAGACAAGAGTGAATTTGAATCTAATAAATATGAAGTTAAATCAAAAGGTAATTAGAACACATTCCTAATGGTTGACACTATAGTCTTAATATCAGTTAAATGAGTGAGAATATGTCATCCCATAATGTAAATCATGAATTTTGATATGCTCTATTGATTGGAATAACTCACAGATTATCATATTGCTTTTACAATTATTAGTTGCAATTTTAGTTCTTTAATTTAATTTCTCTTCGCAATTGTGTGTGTGTGTGTGTTTATGGAATACTATGGATTAATTCTCTATTGCCATGAGCGATTCCCGTGTACTTGCAAGACCAATCAATAACAATATTTACTATTTTATCTTCGCATAATTAATATATTATAAAAAAAATCATAATATAAATAAAATGAAATTAAAAAATGAAGCTAACTCACCACATATTTCACAACTTACCCCACCAGCTTTTTGTGTACAGAGATTTGCAAACAACCTCTTCAATTTTTGTCGTTTATTATAAGTTTGGAGTTTAACAAAGCTTTACACAAATTAACCCAACCAAAAAAGAATGGATGAGAGAAAGGGAAAAAAAAAAACTAACATTGCTAGACGTATATAATACACCATATACACACGCACGCAGCACGTGCATACAATACAGTTTAGTGAAACTCACCATTTGAAAATTTAGTTGAATGAAAATGGTGTACTGCTAATTAAAGGGAAAATATTCTCTCATGCTCCCCTCCTCCTAGTTTTGTTCTTGCCTTGCAAGGGCAGAATTTTTTTTTTATTCTTTGAAGAATACAATTAAGACTCGTTTAAGAAATTTGTCACGATAAAGTTTATAAATTTTGTATCAGATTTGTTATATGAAAACAAGTATATGGTGTTATTAAAAGTTAAACCTTAATTTATTTTTTTGTTAGGGTTTTCTTAGAAACTTAACAAGTTAATATTCAGTTTTTAATAACATAAACATGCTTTAACAAGACAGTATTTTGTTGGGATAAATTTAAAAGGCCTTGAATGTCATTGTCCCTTTATTTTTCTTTTATCATTGATCACTTGTCCATGTGATCGAGGGCAAGACGAGAACCGGTAGGAACCTGTTCCAGTAGTTAAGATGTTTTCGACAATAATTGATATTGATGAGGTAAACATCGTGGGGTTAGAACAGCTTCCAATGGAGTTGCCTTGGGCAAAGTAATGCTTGTGCCTTCTTTCATGTCCACTGGTTCATCACCTACCTTCACCAACTCAAACCCTTGAAGCAAACGAGCTAGACTCAACACACTTACTTGCACTGCTAAATTCGAACCAGGACAAGCCCTTCTTCCAATCCCAAAAGGAAGGTACTGAAAATGGTGACCTTCATTGTCAATATCTCCATTCTCTGTAATGAACCTCTCAGGCATGAATTTTTCAGGCTGTGACCAAATGGTTGGGTCTCTGTGGAGCTTCCACACATTAGCTAATACTCTGGTGCCTTTTGGGACGTAATAGCCACAGATATAACAGTCTTGTGTTGCTTCATGGGGGACCAAGAGAGGACCTGGTGGGTATAATCTTAGGGTTTCTTTGACAATAGCTTGAAGGTAAATTAGGTTTTTGATATCTAAAGTTTGGACCCATCTTTGTTTGCCCACGTGATGATCGACCTCCTCTTGGGCACGCTTTAGGACGTGTTTGTTGTTCAATAGTAAGGCTAGCATCCATGTCAAGTTGATGGAGGTTGTGTCTGCCCCAGCTAAGATCAAACTCTAAATTCAAATAAATCTTATATCAGGATCTTCGAACATGTCCGGTGGCTAATAAAGAAAATGTTTTACTTGCATTTAAAATAAGGCACATGCATAATTGCAAATATGATAGATTTGAATTATATACTTCCTTTGATCTTTAGTATGAGACAAAGTTAATCAAATGTACACTTGCTAAAAAACGTTAGTTATATCCTTAAGATTATACACACACACACATATATATACACATATAACTTTTCAATTTTGTTATTGTTTGCAATCAATAACCATAATAAATTATTGTCTTGGAATTCAAGCTATATAAATAAATGATGGTAAAATTGAAAAAAAATTAATTACTCTAATTTTGTTCCTTATTAAGGATAAAAAAAAAGAGCTTTCAAAGTTTGTCTTATATTAATAATGATCCTATATAGCAAAGGTTTAGATTATTTAGGCGTGAGATGATAATACCCTCAAATTTCCTATAATTTGCGTGATGGAATAAAAAAGTTTGTTTTATACTTTTTCTTCTCTTTATTATAAAGTAACTCTACTTACCTCATCAAATACCTTATATTAAAAATTAAAAATTCCTTTTAGAAGACATCATATAATAAGAACGGGAGTATTAAGAAAGTAGTGTGCGTATCAAGTATAATAAAGTTAATCTTAATTGGATAGGACAAGATAAGATTTATTAAAAAGATTTATGTGGTCCAAAGGCTACATTAATTGTCCACCAAAATATTTATTGACCGGTCAATCCCACTGTATAAAGAAGGCAATAACTACTAGTTTTAACAGTAATAATATTAATAATAATACTAACAACAACAACAACAACAATAATGGGCTTTTGCCCCTTATCAATAATAAAAATAACAATAACAACAACAATTTATGTTTGACTTAAATTGCACTTGTTGGATCTCTTTCCTCAATTATTGTATCTCATTTTTCTAGAAATTAATTATTTAGTATTTTTGTCAATTATTACATGTTATTGTTATGGGTAAGCTATGCGCTACAGACCCAGAGATCCTTATATATCTATATTTTGGGGTAATATTGATTCAAGTAAGGCCTCTCAATGCTGCTCCTAGACAAACATGGCCACTTTAAGATCTCCAACTCCTTGTTACATCAACCCATAGATCTTTATACGTAGTGAGATGGCTCATGCACACTCATGGATCATGGTCAAATTTTTTTATGCACAAGTTCCTAAAGAGATAAGTACATGGCATACTTAAATCTTTATATGATAGAAGTAAAATACTATTGAATCAAATTTTTATAAGAGAAGAGAGGATTTAGAAGAGAGATATGGGGAAAACACACTAATTCTCATTCCTTAATGGATGATCCTTACAAACTCTAACTTATCACATGACCCAAACTCCCTTTTATAGATAAAGGAAGGAAAAAGACGACGCACACCATTATTACGTGCTTGTTAGTTTTTTTTAAAAGTAAAGTAGACGTGACTAAAAGTAAAAGCAAAAGCAAAGTAAAAGCATCTTTCCTAAAAGCTGACTTGACTAATGCAAGGCATCTTTTGACAAAAACTAAAGTAACTTTTGACAAATACAAAAACAAAAGTTACTTTTCTAAAGATCACTTGACACAAGCAAAAGCAAATTTCCACGCATGATAGAGGATGAGGCCTCATCACTTTATATGCTTAAAGATACATTCTTGATCAAATGAGAGGTTAGAATACTAGCTTTCTTCTTTTATAAGGTGCCATGTTGGGTTGTCTTCTTCCTACTCTACCACTTTATCTTATTATTCCTTAGACTATCTTAGGGTGAAAGAGACATTTGCTTTAAAAAATTATTGATAAAATTGAGACTCTATCTCATATGAATTTTAGCTATTTAGAGGAGCAAGTGTTCTCCCTTCCTCTTCTCAAAAATTAACCCTAACTTTCTCTAGTAGGGTAGAGAGTGGGACCCTTTAAAGTCTAATTTACTTAGAACAATGTACGCTGATAGTATAGCCTAATTGACCCAACTCAACGGTACTAATATTGCCCACTTCTTTACTTTGTAGGAGAGTTGTAGGATTGAACCTT